GAAATTTCTTCTCTCTAATACTCTGAATTATCTCTTTACTAACCTTTTCTTTATATGTTGAATCTAGGAAATCGTCATCTTCTGATGATTTAGGCCCTATGAGAATAGGAGATGTGAGATATTGGTTTTCCAATTCCTAGCATATATCGAAGTTAGATACATCATCAGAATTTGAAGTATTATCAGATATATTAGATGCCGGAGTATCATTAGAATTTTTCATTTTGGTAAAGATGGTATTAACTGAAGATTGATCGATTCCCTTGGCATCATCATCTGATTTAACAATAAAGTTATTCTTTTCATTGGTTTGCGATTGCTTCTGTTCTAATTTTGCGACTCTAGCTTTAAGCACAGCATTTTCAACAGCAGTATCTTTATCATTCTGCTCCAGTTTCACAAATCTGGATTCATGTTCTTCCAAAGTTTGTTTTAATTTTACATTCTCAGCTTTAAGTTTGATGTTCTCAGCCTCAACTTCGGAAATTTTTTTTCTAAGTTCTGGAATTTCGGCATTCTCTTTTCTAAGTTCAGTAATCTTGAATGCAAGCCTAGAGTTTAATTCTCTCAAGGTATTGATTGTTAATTGATCGTTCGACATTGTTTTATTACAAAATTGGATATATTCAAAAGGTTAATCACACGAAAATTTACTGGTGCAAAAAATTGCTTTGCTTTATTAATTGTAATAAAAATCGAAATCTATTGTTATTATATAATTTCATATAATATATGTTTTTGTTTGTCTCAATCCATTTTCATATGTTATTGATATTGTATTCTAAATGGAATACAAATAGTGCCTATATGAAACACCCAGTACCAGAATATTAACCTTAGCAAAAACCTGCTGAAAGTTTACGTTACTTGCCCTCTACGAAGCTAATAAATTTCTTAAAAATCTGTACAAAAGAATAGTAATTATTCTGCAAGCCCAGAAGTTGATTCTGTCACAACAGAAATACTCATACCTTAATTTCATGTTATGAACTTTCGCAAAAATAAATTATTGATCATTATTTCTGGTTGCAGGACTTTCATAACCATAGCTAGTGACATCTATAATTTTGATAATTTTTTAGTAACTGATTGAAAACCGTATTTACCATTATGCTTAAAAACAAAGTAATTTCAAAAAAGAGCATATGTGGGGTGACTCCGGGCCTTGTGAAAGGTTGAGCAGAGTTCACGTGCACAGCAGGCAGGTGGTGAGACTCCGGGCCTTGTAAAAGGTTGAGCGAAGTTCCGAGCACAAACCTGACTCTTTAATGAAACAGAAAAATACTTACCGTATATTATCGAATAGAAGCTACCAAAATTTTGAGAGTTTTTTCGGACTAAAAGGAGGGAGTAGCTTCTATTCGGGTCCAATTTTATTATTAAAACATAATCACTTCCTCCAAATTTTTAATCCAAAATCGAGGGGGTAGCTTTTATTCGGGGGTAGCTTCTATTCGGTAATATACGGTATCTGCCTTTCGAGTTTGAGGAAAAATAAATTTTCAACTCTAAAAATTTTCATTAGTACAGTAGTTCACGGGTTCACGGGTTCACGGGTTCACGGGCAGTATTAATTGATCATTTGCCGATCAAAAATGAATTTCCAATTAGAGGGAATTTCTGTCCATAATTAAGACGCGTTCTGCCTTTTATTCAAAACTCATTATGGAAAAGTCAACACCTCTGCGTTTCTACGATTTTATTAAGGATTTTGAGTTTGATTATTTAAATACGTTACCAGAGAAAGCATGGAAAGATCTGGAAAAAGCCTATACTTGTCATCTTAATACAGTAGAACAGACAGAAGCCGTAAAAAAACTAAAGCAAATGTGGGAGGTACGTTTCTTCTATTTTGTTTACTCGTAATAAATTTAAAATAACTTATTTTTGATTATATAGACGACAAGGAAGCATTTTCAGAATGGTTTTATCGATATTTATTTACAAATGCGTGAAAAACTTGTGGAAGTAAGTTATAAATGATATTACGTTTACTAAAGAGAGCCTCCTCACAAGTTTAGGAAACTAATAAGTTTGCGAATTTGATTATAGAGAAAAGTACAAGCTGATTCTCATAAAGTTGCATGTCATACTATATCTGCTAATGTGGAGAAAGTTGGAAAAAATATCATATCATGGACAAAAACTGCAACAAATGATAATAGTCAAAATCCATTTTATATTTCGTGAGTATGTATTAATATTATTTGCTAGTCTTAATGTTTATATCTGGAAAGCTATACGCGACATTTTTCTTAATAGAGCTCGATCTTAATGAAGGAGGATGAGGCTGTAGTTAATGATAATGGAAGAAAAAGGAAGTTGAAAGACTATGAATCAATCCGAACTCCAAAAAATAATATAGCGGTATTCTTCATTGTGTTTTCATCTCATCATTCACAATAAAATAAATTCACACTTCCTTTTATTATTTAGGTCTTGAATGATAATGAAGGCGATAAACAAAAAGAATTTGCACTTTCAATTGAGAGTAATAAGAAAAGAAATTATGATGGGGACATTTTATCAGCTGGTGGCACGATAGTACGAATGCCTAATATTTCGATGGAAATCTTTTTTTTTATTTTTTCTAAAGATCTGTGAATTATAGGTATCTTCAGAAGATATCAATAATATTCTAGAAAATATTAAGGCTAATTATGAAGAAAAAGATGAGTTAACTGACAATGATGTTGAAAGAAGGTACTACAGCTATTTCTTCCAACAACAATAAAGTAAATCATTTTTACATACAGAACACTTTCATTAAACAGTTTAGCAGAAGCGGACATCATCAATATAAGTTCGGATAACCCTCCAATAAATAGAGAACTTTTCAATAGATTAAAAGAAAAAGCGCATTCCCAACCTCCACCCCGCATCAAGATTGATGGACTTAAAAAGTGGATACAAGAAAACTATGCTGTAAAGAGAATAAATATATTTGTCTACCTTTTGTTTATTTTTGATTTAGTAATATTGTAATTTCCTATTTAGCGCAAGATAACCACCACGATATCAAATATTCGATCAGTAACAACCATTGAAAATTTTGATGCAAAACAGGTTGACTTTATAAAACGAATATTAGAAATCAAGCTTATGCAATTTCAAGCTGGGCAAGGCAAAAAAACTCGACTTACTTATGGATGAGAATACATACACATCAACAATAGTATCTCCCGATTTTGAAATTCTAAAATTTTGTTTTCCGAAATTATTCATCAGCAGATGGTAAATCAAATAAAAGAACAAATATATAAACCTATATTGATTACTAGTCTAACTACACTTTTTTGGCAGGAATGAAAATGATGTTCCTTCATCTAAATGGCGTCGTGAAATAGTTTACCGCGATAGTAACGCCTCTGCACGTAAGGCAGATGGTATCCTTTTTAATTATAGAAATATCACTCAAGAATTTTTACTTTTTGAGAATATCGGCCCACCATTAAAGACCCAAAATCCCAAGTATAATGGTGATCTTTTAAAATGTTTTCGAAACTCTGTAGATTCGATTTGCAAAACTTTCTGGAATGGAAATGGAGACATAAAATTTGCAAAGAAATACTACGTATTAGCATATGTGTTGTATAGTAAGTTTTTAACTATCATTTTCTGTTCTGTTGTTATACTGCTGGCTAAGATTTTATTAAAAATATAGAGGACAAAGGCGAATTATTTAGATTGAACTTGGGTGCCCCTAAAACCTTTGTTGCTGAAAGGATATTAACAGTTAATTACCCTTTTGAGTATTCGACCTTTCCTTGCATTGTCAGTATTATCGATCTTCTTTTCACAGTTAAGGTAATATTTTTTTTTCTTATAAGCTTTTAGTTAATTAAGGTATGACATATGCTAATGTCATCGCACACAGGCTATTTTCGAATCCAATGTGGATGTTCTTCACGATTATTCAAAGTCATGCATGGAAATATCTAAGAATTTCACACCAGTTCGAGAATGGCTTAGTTTGAATAGGAATAGCCTCTGAAAAAAATTATGTTCTCACTAAAATACATATTTTAATATTATAATGTAATTTGGTCCCATCAATAATATGTAATAGCTATATCCTGGGATCTTGATATAGTGACCAGGGTATAAATTTTACTAATAAACAAGCGCATTTTAAATACATTATTGTATGAAAGTGCCTAAAGTTTTCTTTATTCTGAATGCTCTGAAATGGTTATATGAGTCTTCGTTTTACCAAGCTTCTTTACAAAAATCTGTTTTCTTTATATGTACGTTACTCACTTTTGCCAAGAAAATTCTTGATCAAATATGTGGGCTAGTATATATACAACGTAATTAAACATCATTGGACCATTAGACTGTCTGTTGAGTCCATTGGCTTGTCTATTGTCTATGAATGGAGTATATTCCAGTATTTCATCCGATATATTGCTATTCTCCGTTATAATCCCTGCATAATCAGAAGCTACAAATTTATTTTAATTAAAATGGAACTTTGTGCAAATGCCCGTATTACACACGAAAATATGAATACAGAGAATATATTGGGTCAATGTTTAACTGACAGATGAATAAAATACTTAGAGCTAAGATTTAACGGATGAGGCATATACGTGTTATTATTTAATTATTCGAGGATATAACAGATGAGGCTTTGCTTTTTAGAGAATTTTCACATTCACTTCGCTTATATATTCCATCCGCTACCTTTTTGCATGTTTTGCAATATAGGTGTGAATGGTGATTGCATTCGTCACAAACCTTACACCCGTGCTTCCACCCTCTAAAGATGTGCCACTTCTGGACTTAAGTCCAGCTTTTTTTTATTTGTTAATACGTTACTCTTATCTTTCATTGTTATATATTAGCCGAAAAAAATATATACGTGTTCTAAATTTTTTATCATTCAAACTGCAATTAGTTGATACTCAATATTGCTACCATTATGTAATATCAATAATGTAGTACATACGTAATATTGGTGCAGAAATTTGATCGATGACGTAACTTTTTTGTAGCATCCATGGTCGTAACTCAAGACGTGATCGATACGTCAAAAAGCTACAACTAACGTTTGTCGTAATGTCGTATATATGCCGTAAAATTGGCTTATGTCGTAACTTTAGATATGTGCCATAATAATAGACCATACCAATCAATCTGTACGAAAACTTTTCAGATAGTGAACATATTAATAAACCTTTGATACTGTATAATGAATTTTTTAAGATTTTTACTACAGTAGTAGAACGAATCACTTCATTAAAATGAAAGTGCCTTATTAATTGTCATTTATAGAATGTAAAATTTTTTCTCTTTCAATTGAAACGTACCATACATTTTAAAATAAGGGATATTATTAGATGCATTTTTTACGTTCTTTTGAAAATAATTAAAGCATCAATTTATATATTTGTTTATACATATATGCAAATTCTTATTAAATTTTTCAATGTAAAGCTATTTAATGTAATCTGCGTTTATTACAGTAATTATTTAATCTCCAATTCAGCACTTAGAATAGTATCGACAAGATCTTCAGGATTAAAGTCCATGTCAATATTGTCTTCAATACTATCGGTCATATCTGCAATGTCAGTAGAAAATTCAAATTGTGCGATTTCTCTATCTTGAAAAATGGGATCCTGCAAATTTACTACATCTTCTAAAATTATATAATTTAGAGATAATGAGTTTGAGCTTTCTTCATACATATCATCATTATTTTCACCTATTTCATCCTCATCTGAAATATAATCATCAATTGTTGCAATCTTTACCATCTCACGTAATTCTGATTCAGTCAACCCGGCATCAAAATAAGTAAGTTCACTTCGTATATTCGTCATGTGGTAAGACCTAATTTTAGCCATTCCTTCAAGCTTTTCAATTCCAAGACGCGTTCATTTGTCTCCAATAAACCATTTAAGAGTTGAAAAATTTCTTTCGCAATTAGCTTGAGAAGGTGAAATGCTGAAAAGTCTTTGTGCAAGTTTAGAAAGATGTTTGGGTCGATTTTTTATAGATCCCCACCACAACATAGGTGTATCAAAACCTTGAACATAGGGTAGGTCAAATGGTTTTTTATCAGCATCATAGTTACGAAATTGTGAAATTAGTTCTTTACACTCTTGGGCAGTGTGACCTAAGTTCTTTCATAATGTTGATGCTGCTATAGCGGCATTTCGAAATGCCTCATTTCGAAGTCCTAATCCTAAATTAAAAGAAGACAAAAATTTATTATATGCAGTATAGTATTTAATATATAA